ATATATATATATATGTATACTGTGTCTACACATTTTACACTTTAAGCGCTCATGTTACTCAGTTGGTAATTGATATTTTTTGAATATCAAGATTTTGGTCTACAGTGTGACCAAATGATTTTTTTTTAATATTCATACAATGAATGTAAGTATATAAAAATATCAGCCATAGTGTTACTGTGTGTATATATATATATATATATATAAATAAACATTTATTTTAAATTGTAATAATATTTCAAAACATTACCATTTTTTTATGTATTTTAATCTAATAAATGCAGCAAGACTTCTTTCAATAACATTAAAACTTTTTACCAACCCCAAACTACCTCAACAGTAGTGTATATGGTTACATGAAAAATTGCGCATAGTTTCTTTACAAGATTCCCTCATTGATTCTCATGTTTGGCTTTCTTATTAACAGGCGGCTCGTTTGAAGATTCAGACGTTGGACAGCAGCGTAGAGAGCTTCCTTTCACGCGAGAGCAAGATGAAGCACCTGCTCCGTTCTCTGGAACAAGAGAAAGCTTCCTACCAAAAGACCATTGAGCGCATGCGTAGCAGTTTGCCATCGGATGCCATGGCTGATGTGGAGATGACCCAACTCAAGTCCAGCACCAATGGGAAAGCCAAAGAAACTGCCTGCAAAAAGCCTTGAATCACCATCCTAATGACTGATGCATCATATAGGTACATCAGTAGGGAGTTAGCCTGCTTCTTCCTCTTTTGTGTTCCCATCATGCTTTACCTTTGATGGCCTAATTGAGAGACATGGGAACGTTTGACGCCTTGCAGCCTCAGAGAGAAAACTTGAAAACAAACGAAAGTGTTTTCTTTCCAAAGAGCAGCACAACTAGTGCATTAATGTCCACGTGTGACTATACGCTCACTGTGAAGGTATTTTTTGACCTGGCACTCCAAACCAGGTGTTTGGAGGAAACCAAATGTCTACCAGGTCGAACTTTTGCTTAAAGTGCTTCACCTAAAGTGCAGGCAGGAAGTGAAACCATGTGCTGCTGGGTTTCCTCTGCAACTTACAAACAGTCCTGCTGTCCAGACTTCCCAGTTTGAGCTCATAGACTTCAAGCGAATCACTGTCTGAAAACATGAAGAGTAATTTGTCTTCAAACCATCATCTTCGATATTGCACAGTATTCTGTGTGTGCATTGAAGAAGTGTGCCTGAAGAACGTTGTGTGGGATACTATGCCATAAAAATGTGCGTGTGCAATCTTTGAAATGCAGTGTGTAATGGTCGCCTGGGCATAAAAAAAATAAATCCCACAATCCTTTGGGGATTTTACCATTGTTTGGGTTTCTTTTTAAATGATCACTTGTTTTTTTGTGTGGCACCAACTGTCCTTGACATCTGCGCAAATATTTTTGTAGTGTATAAGAGTGCAGGGGTCTTGTCTTGTGTTAAAATATTCCTCTGTAGTGGAGAGCGGCTCACAAAAGATCTGTTATGATGATGAGAATCTGTCAGAACTTATATAGATATCAAATGCTAAAGCGTTGTATTTCATTCAATTTTTTGTCAGACATTTGTATTACAGGTTTTATTTGATGCTAGTTCATTTTGGCCTTGGCATATAAGCCTAATAGGACAAAAACGACAGATGAAACATTGGTTTAAACCACCTGTTCAGCTTGATGTTGGCCAAATATGATTGTAGATATACCATATGAAAAATGACACTGTATTGGTCAGTCATTTAACCACATGAATGTGAAGCTAAAGCAGGAATATCTACTTGAACACTCATTCTTGTTTGTCTGTTTTCATATGATCTACGTTTGTCTTGACTACACCGATCAGAACCTGCCTCGTTTTGACAGTTTAATGAATGAATCACAGTTGTAGTTAGATGATAAACTCTAATGTAAGTGTTGTTGAATGTAAGCAAGAGCTTCTTTCTGCTATTCTATGTTCGAGTGATGAACATAATATGGCAAAAAGTGACATTAAGAAGTGTTAGTGCTGGCCTGGTGGGGGTTTCCAGTGCCGTGAATATTTGAACTGATCAGCTTTCTTTTAGATATTGACTGTTTTTTGGAATAATTTTCTTTTTCAGAAATACATCTTTGACATCGCAAATTGAAAATGACTTGCATATCTTTGAAAGAGTCAAAACATATGCGCACGTTTAATCAAGGGCCGCAAATACTGTACATCACCTGTTCAGAGGAGGTTCATTCTAGCAATACACCGAAAGTTTAGCAATGTGAAGGGTGGGGGACAAATGATTCATCGTCACATTGCCCAACTTTTCAATATTTCGCAATGCTATAATAAAACAGGATGTCTTCATACAAAAAAGACATAAAGCAAATGGTCTGATGTGTTTGATACATCAGTCATTCTTTTTCATACTTTGTTCAGTGTGCCAAAACTCGTAAATCATTACATCACGTTTCCATTGTCACATGCCGCTGAAGTTTTGTTGGACTACATTTATTTTGGATGCACTCTTGTTTGCAATGAATCTTTGGTCACCATTGAAAGTGTGTGTGTGCAGTGTGCAAACAATGTCTTGATCTTGAGTTGTCAGTCCTCTATACTCCATTAAAATCAACTTTTTATACCTCAGTTTCCGTTTATTGTTATTCTTAGTTGTTCTTGCCAAGGTAAGCATTCTGTAAACCTACACTGAAGGAAGGACACAAGTCACGAGAGAGTAGTCTTTTGACTGGGGCCAGTAAGCAAACTCCTAGCAACCACCCAGAACACCTAGCAACCACATTGCAAGTGCTCAAAGCATTCAGAACATCATAGCAACACAATGGCAATCACAATGCACATTTTTGTAGTTTAATAATATGTAACTAGACTCAATATAAACTTGAATAATGATGCATGATGATCAAAACTGCCATAGTTATTTTTAGTGTTTTACATGACAGTTTATTTGCAGTATTATGGGATGCATGGACATCTGCCAATAACATTGTGAAATGTCAGTCATACCAGTCAAATGAATATATTCTGGGCTGGGAAGATACGAATGTGGTGTGTACGTTTGCACCATCTAACAACTGAGAAAAACGATAAAGTGATATTTTAAGTGTGATTATTTTTGCTGATTCATTTTATGCTTTTATTTCCACACTTGCATTAGATTTTCATCCTCACATTTGTATGAATATGTAATTCTATGCATTACTGTTTGAGGCACAAATAATGTGTACAATGGCAAGAGCACCAGAATCCCTTTAAGACCCAAAAATGATGACATACTTGAGCCAGTTTGCATTATTTTATTCACTGTCCAGTAAACAGAGCCTCCTACAAACAGAGCTTGAATTTGAAATTGAGCCCTATGGTTGTTCCCTTGACCGGAGGCTGTTAAACAGCAGGTCCGAGACTCCAGTCATGGAGAGTTGGCTGTGTTTCTCCTTTATCTCAAGGCCAGTATTGGTTTGTAATACCACCACTATTTCGTGATGTAAATTTCAGACTTTTATAATGTTGCCATTGCAGGCATTTAATACAACAAGACAGCCTGAAGATGTTTTTGGTTTAGTGAAGTCAACAGGACTGCATATTTCATTGATTGCTCTCTGAGGTGATGTTTGAAAGTCAGTGGTGAATTAAAAGGTTGCCGTTATGTGCCCTGTTGTTATTAATACATATTCAGAGGAGAAATAAAGAAGTTCTGCTGGTTTAGTAGGGTATGGGAGCGCAGGAATAATTGTAATGCACAATAATTTATTAAATAAATATTCACAGTTGCTGTATTAGGTACTGTATATGCACAATTCAACCCTCAGTCTCTTCCTAAAAGAATGAACAGTTTTATTTACATTATACATGGATATTTAAAAAAATGAGCTATGTACAGTAAAAAATAAATAAAAACTTTTGGTTTTATTTACATAATATTTATATATATTACATAAAATATTACATTTATTTATTTTTCCTTTTTTTACATTAAATCATTTAAATTCTAGTCACATTATTTTTAACACTTATTTCTTCAGAATATGCATTTTTGTTATTATTAGTGCTGTCAAACAATTAATCGCATTTAGAATAAAGGTTTTTGTTTACATAGTGTATGTGTGTGTACTGTGTATATTTATTATGTATATATAAATACACACACGCATGTATGGTATATGTAAGAAAAATATGTTATTTTTAGGTATATTAAATATAAATTATATGAATATAAATATATACATATAAATATTTTCAAAACATATGCTGTATGTGTCACACTCGGGACAAGGAGGCAAACAGGCAGAGTATTTCAAAGGATTAGTGTTTATTTAACACAACGGAGAAAATGCTTCCAACAGAAAGGAATCAACTTAGAATAACTGGAAGCTGAGAACAGTCTTATCTGGTGTCGAATACAAGTTCCTTGGTCGAGAGCAGAAGAATCCATCAGGAGCCCTTCCTGGGCTGGACTGGGGATCAGGAGCCCTTCCTGGGCTGGACTGGGGATCAGGAGCCCTTCCTGGGCTGGACTGGGGATCAGGAGCCATTCCGAGGCTCGACAGGGGATCGAGAGCCATTCCTAGACTCGACAGGGGATCGAGAGCCATTCCCAGGCTCGACAGGGGATCGAGAGCCATTCCCAGGCTCGACAGGGGATCAAGAGCCCTTCCTGGGCTAAACAGAGGATTCCGCGGTCTCTCTTCCTCATTTTGGCCCTGAATTCCCTCCACAGTCCGCTCACCCTCAGCCATGATGCAGGGGGCGAAGCTCCTCTCCGCGCTCACACCGTCCACGGCTTGCTCCCTCCATTCACACACTCACTCACTCACTCACTCACTCACTCACTCACTCACTCACTCACTCAGGGTAACATTCACAATAACCGACAATACTAGAATACACGAGACAGGAACTTATAGGGCAGATAACGAGGGGCAGACAGGTGAGCACACTGAGGATAATAAACTAATGATTGAACGGGCTAAACCAACAAAAGGGGAAGAAACCACAACAAACAGTCCACAGGGGTGTTACACTACTAATACTCTAATGAGAGTTTGTTGACATGTAGGTGCAAAGTTTCTTATTATAGACAGAATGCTCAAAAGGGACCATCAGTATAAAGTATTACCAATAATCTTAACAACATTTTAGATTTAATGTGTATTGTTAACATTAACATTAACAAAGTTACAAAAGTAATAGTTTTTTTGTTTCAATTTTAAAAATATTTTGTATAACCTAAACTGTGTTTTTAATGGACAATTAAAAAGACAGACTTACCGAGCAGCAGTTTAGTTCCTCCACCGAATATGTACCACAGTGCTACAATCTAATGAAATACTCGTACAAAAACCTCTCTTCCACTCGAGTGAAGACAAACTCCAGCAGAGAGAGAAACAACACTTCAACACACTGATAGCAGAAATATCTCAGCTGTTGACAACACTCAGATAATTAGTTTTAGTTAATTTTATTTTTTTTAATGAATAACAAAACACACAAAATGCTTTTTTTGTTTGTCATTGCTTGAAGAACAGTGTACTTTTTTCATAACCAAATGAAGGGTTTAGTTCTCTCATTTTCAATAGACATGAATCAGTTTGACTTTATATCCTATATTTCTCTTCCGTTTCTTATTATAGACAGAATGCTCAAAAGGGACCATCAGTATAAAGTATTACCAATAATCTTAACAACATTTTAGATTTAATGTGTATTGTTAACATTAACATTAACAAAGTTACAAAAGTAATAGTTTTTTTGTTTCAATTTTAAAAATATTTTGTATAACCTAAACTGTGTTTTTAATGGACAATTAAAAAGACAGACTTACCGAGCAGCAGTTTAGTTCCTCCACCGAATATGTACCACAGTGCTACAATCTAATGAAATACTCGTACAAAAACCTCTCTTCCACTCGAGTGAAGACAAACTCCAGCAGAGAGAGAAACAACACTTCAACACACTGATAGCAGAAATATCTCAGCTGTTGACAACACTCAGATAATTAGTTTTAGTTAATTTTATTTTTTTTAATGAATAACAAAACACACAAAATGCTTTTTTTGTTTGTCATTGCTTGAAGAACAGTGTACTTTTTTCATAACCAAATGAAGGGTTTAGTTCTCTCATTTTCAATAGACATGAATCAGTTTGACTTTATATCCTATATTTCTCTTCCATTCTCTTGTCATATTCTGATATAACACTTTTAAAGGAAAAATATTTTATGATCTGTGACCTCTGAGGTTACCTTTGACCTCTTCTGTTCTTTATATGGAGCTCAGTCATCTTGGATCACAAAAAAAGGCAAATGAATCAAACATTTCTCGTGCACACTAATCAATCTTTAGTAAAATTTTCTTTCATTAAATTTGTAGAACAGTGATCAACAATAATACAAAGTAGCTCAGTAAGCAGCACTGTTTCTTTACAGCATGATGGTCTCTGGTAGAGCGGGACTGTTTTCTTGATCCCGCTGAATTTCTGACCATTACGGCCCACTCCCGCGATTTTTGTTTCCAGTCCCGCCCGCTCCCGCAATATTGTATAGGCCCTGGTATCATTTTTGTGCATCAGGGAGCCATTATCAATATGTGGGGTATTTAAACCGCTTTTGAATGAGCTCTCGTTGTTCACTTTCGATTTCGCAATCACGCATACTCTCTGTAAAGGAAGCACATCTTACAAGATAAGATATTTGTTAATGAGCTAAGGATCTGTTGAGCAGCAAATCCTCCACCGTGTCCTTGTCAGTCATCTCTCCTTCCTCTCGACACGTGATCAGTCAAATCTGATTCCTGCAGCACGTGGATGCAGGGTTGTCAAGTCCGCATTTTTTCCCACAGAATTAGGCTACTTTTTTTCTTTTCTTTTTTAAGGACAACACTCATTAATCAACATTTCTTATAAACTGTTGCTGTGGGTTGATTTCCCCCCGTGAGTTAAAGTTTGAAATATTGCATGAATTACATTTGACTGAAATGCTTGTATTGAAACATTTTGCATTCTACCTATGATAGAACTGTGCTAGATGTTAAGTTTTGTTAAGGAGGGCCAATGTTGAGCTGTGGTTATGATCAATGTGCATAACAGTGATTGTAAAATATGCATTTTAGGTATGTAAACAGTACAGGCAACCCTGGCTGTATGAAGCAGAGGACACGTTTTCAGTTTAGTGTAGCGTACGTTTCCCATCTGAACTAAATTATTTTTATTTTTATAAAAAAAGCAAAACGACTGTTGGGAAGGTGCCACGGCGGGCAAGGAATATAATTTTTTACCAAACACCGTGTAACACCAACTACTACAGCAAGCCTAGTGTTTATGTAACTCCATCATTCTAAATGCGCCAAATTGGGACCCGCGCTATATTTTTTTTGACTACCCCCTCCCTCCCGCAGTGAAGGTAAAATCACCCTCTCCCGCGAGATTTGCATTTGGTTGCCACGGGATCCTAATCCCAGTGCAGCGTTCTAGTCCCTGATTTGAGTCGTAGCCAGAAAATGAAATATTTCAAAAATATTTAAACAATAGCCAATAAAAATAACTGTAGTAAAGAGCATGGTCCCTTTAAGTCTATTCCTTATGTTTATTCTGTTCCTATTCCTATTGGCTGTTTAGTTACATCAGTTATAGAGTATATATATACACTATATATATATATATATATATA